TGGAAATTTCCACCAACAATCTCCCCCTCCAGCCCCATGGGAGGAGACTTAAACCTTGACTCCTTACTTGGAGTCCATTCTGGCCAACTTCATGCAATATTCAAACTTTTCCCTGGGAAGAACTATTTTTCATCATATCAGCAACATTGTTGTTTGTGTGAATCTTTCTGAGTTGAAACTGCTTGTTTTCTGTCACCAAGCGCAACCAGTGATATCTCAGATCTATATGTTTTGTTCGGGCATGGTACATAGTATTCTTGCTCAAATCTATAGCACTCTGGCTGTCACAAAATACTACATACTATTTCTGCTTTAATCCCAATTCTTGTAGGAATCTCTTCATCGAAAGCATCTCTTTACCAGCTTCTGTAGCTGCAATGTATTCAGCTTCGGTTGTTGACAAGACAACACACTTCTGCAATTTTGATTGCCATGATACAACTCCCCCTGCAAAAGTGAATAAATACCCTAAAATAGATTTTCTATTATCAAGGTCACCTGCCATGTCTGCATCTGTGTATCCCTTTAGAATTGGTTCAGTTTGCCCAAATGTCAAACACAACTTGGTAGTTCCTCTCAGATATCTGAAGATCCATTTAACAGCTTCCCAGTGAATCTTGCCTGGATCAGACAAGAATCTACTCACAACACCAACAGCATGGGTAATGTCTGGCTGTGTACATACCATTGCATACATCAGTGAACCGACTGCAGAAGAATAAGGAATAGGTGACATTTTCTCCTTTTCTTCTTTGGTAGTTGGACAAGATCGTTTACTTAGCTTGAAGTGATTTGCAAGAGGAGTGCTAACTAGCTTAGCATGTTTCATGTTGAACCTTTCAAGCAACCGTTCAACATACTTCTCCTGTGATAACCACAATTTCCCAGCCTTTCTATCACGGGTAATAGCCATACCCAAAATTTGCTTTGCTGGTCCCAAGTCCTTCATGTCAAAGGACTTTGATAACTCCTCTTTTAACCTGCAAATTTTCTCAACACCTTGTCCCAAAATCAGCATATCATCAACATATAACAAAAGGATAATGAAGTTGCCATCAGGGAATAATCTGATGTAGACACATGGATCTACATTTGTTCTTTGGTAACCATTACTCATCATAAAAGAGTCAAACTTCTTATACCATTGTCTTGGAGCTTGCTTTAGTCCATACAAGCTCTTCTTCAATTTGCAAACCATATGCTCCTTCCCTTGTTCTTCAAAACCTATTGGCTGATCCATATAAATTTCCTCATGCAAGTCACCATGAAGAAATGCAGTTTTTACATCTAACTGCTCAAGATTCATGCTTGCTACTAGACCGAGCACAACTCAAATTGAGCTCATCTTCACCACTGGAGAAAATATTTCATCAAAATCAATCCCCTTTTTTTGACTGAAGCCCTTTACCACCAGCCGAGCCTTATATCTAACTATCTTGTCACCATCTTTCTTGAGCTTGAACACCCATTTGTTCTTCAGGGTTTTTCTTCCTTTGGGAAGTTCCACAAGCTCATAAGTATTGTTCTTGTGCAGGGAGTTCATTTCTTCTCGCATGGCTTTCATCCAGCAGTCTTTGTCTTGGTGAGACTGTACCTCCTGGAAGTTCTCCGGTTCCTCCTCTTCAATGATCAAGATGTAATCAGAACTTGGGTATCTTGCAGATGGTTTGTGCTCTCTGGTGGACCTTCTCAACTGAGGTTCTTCCTTCTGTGGCAAGGGTTGCTCCCCCTGCTCATCATTTCCCCCATCTATACTTGCTTCATCTTCTTCAATTGTTGGCTCCTCTGTCTCATCTTCTGGTGCTTGCACCTCTTCTCCATCTGTAATTTTTCTTGAAGGAGTTTTTGCCGGTGTTAAATCTTCTGCACCCTCTCCAGAGCTTCCTGTAGCTTTGTCCTCCTTCAAATCATTAATTTTCTCGTGTTCATGAAACACGGCATCTCTACTTCTGACAGTTTTCTTCTTTTCTAGGTCCCATAGTCTGTAGCCAAACTCCTCATGACCATATCCAACAAAAATGCATGGAATGGCTTTATCATCCAGCTTTGATCTATGTTCCTTTGGCACATGCATAAATGCTTTGCACCCGAACACTCTCAAGTGAGAGTATCCAACGTCCTTTTCCGTCCAAGCTTTCTCTGGGATTTGAAAGTTCAAAGGAATTGAAGGTGACCGGTTGATCAGATACACTGCTGTGTTGACTGCCTCACCCCAGAATGGCTTAGGTAGAGTTGCCATTTTTAGCATGCATCAAACTTTCTCCACAATGGTACAGTTCATCCGTTCTACAACACCGTTGTGTTGTGGTGTGCCAGGAACTGTCTTCTCATGCCTCATGCCATGCTTGGAACAGTAGTCTCTGAATTCTTTGGAGGTGTACTCCCCTCCATTATCTGTACGGAGACATTTCAACTTCAACCTTGTCTCCCTTTCCACCATAGCATGGTAATGCTAGAAATACTTGAAAACTTGGCTTTTATTCTGCAACAAGTATACCCAAGTCTTCCGAGTTGCATCATCAATAAAGGTAACAAAATATTTATTGCCACCAAACGACTCTACCTCCA